ACTAAATTAGCTATTACAGTTTGTTTAAAAAGGAAAGTAAACGGGTTATCAGGTCGACGTGCAGGAGAAGGAACGGGGTGGTTTTTCGTCAGTAAAAGTCTGACACTCCCTCCCGCCTCACCCAGGCGGGAGCAGTCATTAGATGATTTTCCCCACTTAAAAAACATACCTCTTAATATTAAAATATGTACACTGATCTTTATCAGTTAATCTTATTGAACACAGTTATAAAGATAAAGATAATCTTTTATTAGCCCCAAACTCTATTAATATTAATTGAACAACAAATTGGAATAATATGAATAAGTTTCCGCGTAGCGAGGAGCGGTGTCGGCCGCAACTGTTGGCGCGTCATTATTTAGTCGTCTCGTGTAACGCGTCACCTACATCTGTGACTTACTAAAGTAGCGCTCACAAGAACTGATCGCTTCTGTTACGTTACGTTCGTAAAATTTTATCACTCTTTTATCCCTTTCAAAGTACGAAGCCCAAGTGGTGCTAATGCACTTTGACTTTGTATAACCACGAGTGACAGGAATGCGTTAGTACGGCGACTTCTGATAGCTTGCACGTTGCCCACAACATATACATAACGTAGGTACCATCTATGTACCCATCAAGAATTCTGTTCACAAAAGTACAATGACCTCTTTATTTCTTCCAAAGTCTTACTTTTATACGCCATTTTTTACAAATCATATTACACAAAGTAATGAATAAATTACGAGAAAAAGTTTAGTAGATCTGCTACGGCTACAACTTTATAATTTGGTCATTAAATAGCAATCCATTGCGATTAATTTCATCCTAATTGGCTGGTACTGAAAGAAATAATTATTCAAGTTCCATAATTTGATATTTAAGGCTTTTATTAAAACGTATTTTACAGAAGTAAGTATCTTCGCGAATCAAAATTAATGAGTTTAAAATAAAATTTTAATGGTGCTTCGTTAAAATTTTATTTTGCCCACTTTCAGTTATCATAGCAGTACAGCTGCAATTAACTTCAGATATATTATGACGTTCATGGCGGTTTCCGAAATCGTGTATAATTAATCATTTAATTCCGACAGCCACAGAATTAACATACACTTCAAATTACCAATTCCCTGATAACGGGATGGGGGGTACGTACTTGAGTTTGTTCGGCAAATAAAGTTAAACAGGAGGAAAGTTTAAATAGCCGAAGATTTGATCGGAAGAGGGAAAGTCGAGTAAAAACAGGATACAGATTAATTGGACTAGTAAGACAGTAGCAGGTTCATCCTTTTAGCCAGAGGATTGATTAGACGCCGTCGGCACGGTAATTAATTAGACGCATCCGGTTCTATTCCACTTTTTGTCTCGCAGGGTTTGATTAAATTTTTCACTTCGCAGCCAATAAGTTGGATGAAGCTATTAATTTACTGACACCTCATTAGCCATGGAAATTAGGCAGACGAGTAAATAAAGTGGCGCAATCGCTCTTCTTGAAACTGAACTTAACTGCCTCTCGAGTTGTTAAAATGTTTTGCGTTTTTTACATGTTAGGCGAGTGAATGAGTGTTATAAAGTTCTCTAAATCAGATAATTGTTGGTTTTCATTAATTTATTAATGTTGAATATTTAGACAATGAGGATAAGGATCCTCGACGTTTATGTCATTAACTGTCTTCACACAAAACCCACGCTTAAATCAATTTCTCAAAAATATAATAAACTCCACACAATCTCACCAATTAATTACACTGGTTAAGCTATAATATTAACTGCATATTACTTATTTGGGTCCCCGTAGAATCATTTTCCTGCAAACGTCTGATGAAGCAATGAATCTTCTTTTCACGTCTTCAGTTATCTATCATCAGGTCATCATTATGACGTCACGTGAGTGACTGGGCGATGATACCATGTAACTCTAGCTTATCTTCTAATACTGATTGATATATTAACCCCTGAGTGATCAATGATCATTTTGTGTCATATAAGTTTATTTTAGTGATACTGTCTGTTAAATCTCGAAGTTTTGATATCAATGTAAATGGTACTCTTTGGTGTCCTCTGCTTAACTTTATAGGATGTGTATACGATGGATCCTCTTCAATTCAAGGTACCTCCTTATTATTATTTATCTCTTTCATCAATAACAATGTGATGCAACTATCGAAGTTTTAATTTTAGAAAACACTTACTTGATAAAATAAAACAATCACAAACCATAAAAATGTCGGCAGTCGCCATCACTCACCCAATTTAGACAGATAGGGAGTTCCTTATTATTTTTTGTTTGACAAAAGATCCTTTTGTCGTCGACTTTTCTTCTTAAACTAAGAGTAGAATAGATAAGACCATCGGAAACCTTTTAATATTCCAAGTTAAAATGTTCACTTTGTTATAGGAAGTTGTGACCTAATTACGGACGTGGAGTAAAGTTTTATTCGAAATTTTAGGTCGAGCAGATATTTCTTATTGTACTTCTGTATAGAGTGCTAAATTATGCTTTTATTATTAATGTATACTTTGATAGACAATGGAGTAATTGGCCTTTATTTCATAGAATTTATGTCAATAGGCTCACCCCCTATTACATTGGACTCATAACATAAATAGTGAAAAGTAGGCGTTACATTTTACAGTGGCATAATGTGCACCTCTGCCTACCCCTTCGGGGATAAAAGGCATGATGTTATGTTATGTTATGTTATATTCAATAGAAGTACATTATTGAAAGACTATGTTTATTTGTGAAATTTTGTATGATTAAAGTCGATTAGAAATCTTTCTCATATCATAGTCTACTTTGAGTTTTCATAATTTGTTCTCGCATAGTCCAATACAATAATGTTTTCAGGATGATGTTGAAACTCCCGCGTTTCTGTAGTGCCTCGGGTATGTTTACCCAATCGCATACAGATAGTTTTCATGCGATCATCAGAAAAAAGGTGGCATCGCTTGTGAGAAGGATCCGGGGGAGTGACAACAGCATCCTGAAAGTCATTGCCGAGGACCCGAGAGCTCCTGTACTGAGGCATCTCATGAGGAATCATTGTCCTTCTGAGGAGCCTCGTAAGTACATGACGCATTAATTTTAAAGTTGCCAAATATAATTTTAATTATTACTAATTTTTTTTTTTTATTCTCTTTTGTTCGGTAAGGGGTTTTTATCCACATGGATATGTCAACCCCATTCTAACTTATACACTATTTTCATAAAATTATTAAACACCTATTATTAACACTTTTCGTACTTAACTATGCTTTTGCATTACTAATCCTAGTGTTTAAGTTTAGCATGTAAGTTACTAACAAAAGTGGATTATTTGTTGTCCGAATAAAAACCTTTATTATTATTATATTATTATAGTCACTAAAGTACAGACACACTACAGTACAGTCACATAACTATAATCGTATGTAGGTATGTTGAAAACCCGAAAACAATAGCAATTATAAAATAAATGCATCACAAGTTTTTGATAACAAAAACTTAAGTAATAAGCACCAGTCCTACAATCGACGTCACTTCTCACCCGCTATACAACTCTCACTGCAGCTAAAAACTCAATATTGCCTAGTGACAATATCTCCAATAGTAAATACGGAACTGAGATAGGTCACGTCACTACGTTCGTTCAATCAATGCGAATTCAAAACTTTGATGGCACTACTAGTTCCGGCGTCGCGCCCAACTTTGGGTTATGGAGATAGTAGATACCACTAGTGAGAGACTGGGAGAACGAGAGACTAGAGACTCATATGGTGAGTTTAGTTTGTCTAAAGTGAAAGGCATCGATTGTAAAACGTTCGTCTCACTTTTTTATTGGTTTTTCTGTGTAAAGGTGTGCGATAGTGTGGGTGTATAAGTCCTAACTGACATGTATGTGTGTTGCATGTAATAAGTTACTTAACATTTACATGTATTGTGTGAGACAGGGTACCAGTGTGGTTGTTAGTGAGTAAGAGTCTGACAGTCCCTCGGTCTTTCCAGAAGACGACTTTTTTTTAAGGGTGAAAATCATCGAATGTCTGCTCCCGCCTGGGGTAGGCGGGAAGGAGTGTCAGACTCTTATTGACTAAAAACCACCCCGTTCCTTCTCCTGCACGTCGAGCCGGAGCCCCGATAACCCCTTAGGTTCTCCGCGACTCCAAGAGAAGACTTGGCTACTTATTAATCATGCAAATTTTTATCTAATAAACAATATTCATTAAATATTGTTTTTGTAAAATGTAATGTCAATGATCAATAAGCTGATTAACGGTTTTATTTAATCTTTGCGTGTTATAGAAACCTTATGAATTGGAAAAAGTGGGCGCCTTGTGGACCTCGTGGAATATGTTATATTATTATGTTGTATAGGTAAAGTCGCAGCATCACTGATTTCTGGTAGATGTCCCACTCACAAGCACGAAGCGATTCGCATCCAGCTTACTTTTGCTAAGGAGTAGAATTCTTTGCCAGATTTTGTGTTTTCTAAAGGGTTTACCACGTGTGTCTTCAAGGCCCAAGTACATAGGTTACTTATGGGCAGACTTGCTCCATCGTAGGCCGCAATTATCGCTTACTACCAGGCGATACTATATACTATACATTATATTATTAAAACAAGTTTTGTATTATACGAATTATATCTACTGACGTGGTAGAATAATGTTTGTATATAGAGGTATAAGAAGCAGTTTAGTTTTGCCCTTTCGACGAAAATTGGGGCTCAATTTTGAATCGTTTTCGTTTGAGTTGGAAACTTGTAAAGTTGTATAACTTCTCAGGTGTGTACCTGATAAGTATTGATATAGTCTGCTGAATAGTTATTACGACTAGTTGTATTAGTTTTGTTCAAAAAACAATAAGTTATCAAACACTTCTTTTTGAACAGTAGACGGTTACTTCAATTGTGTCTCGTTTAAGACAATTAACAAACCAAAATATTTCAATAATGTTTTATTTTTATTCATATTCAAATCTTATTTTCCTACTTACAACTTAGGTACATAATACGATTAATCAATGAACTAATTTACAATTTTTTTTTTTTTTCCAATCCTGCTTAGCACAGCAATCTGTTTTTCCACATTTAGCTGTTATTTTCTTTGACCTCAGTCTGAGTGTGTCTTTAATTTAAAGAGGGGTCCATTGACTTCACTCTTTATAATGATGGAAAACGGTTTTTGAGGGAGGGAACACTGTTTCTCCTCAGTCTTGAGTGCTGAACGCTGCCAGTGCCTGTTAGTTTATTAGCTGAGGCATTTACATGATTCGATAACTTGGTCTGATACTTGGAACTTCTTATGGAGATTTCTTGTTTCACTGTATTAAGATTTAGATCTCGTAAAATATATTTATTGCTGATGCATTTAGGTATGTTATACATGCACCTAATGCTCTTGGTTTGGAATCTTTCCAAGATATCAATGTTGCTGCTGGATGCTGTGCCCCATAGTTCGATGCCGTACGTCCATATTGGCTTGAGGATTGCTTTGTAGATTAACATTTTGCTTTCATTAGATAGTTGGGATTTCTTGCCTACCAACCAATACAAGCTTCGGAATTTTGTATCAAGTTGCTTCCGCTTAGTCCAGATGTGACTTTTCCATGTCAGTCTTCTATCTAAGTGCATACCGAGATACTTGACTTTGTCAGAGTGCGGTATTTGCTCTCCGTTAAGGGTAACTGGTGGGCAATCGCCTTTTTTAAGAGTGAAGGTGACATGGACCGATTTACTGTTGTTTGCCTTTATTCTCCATAACCCTAGCCATTCTTCAATTTCTATGAGATGCCTTTGGAGCGTTGCTGATGCGGATGCAGCCTCGGTGTTCACCGATAATATAGCAGTATCATCTGACTAATTTACAATAATGTATTAAATGTTAGCCTAAATATTGTACTTACTTAAAAGTACGTATTTATTTCAATAACATTTAGTCATGTAAATAGTTTAATAAATAAATAAAACATAGGCAGCTTATATCATTAACATATTTACATTGTATATTGGCTAATATAAATCCTATACAACTAATGAGTTTTAGAAAATGCTTTACTCATTTCAATATTAATTATTCCTAGTAATGTGAATATTTTCTAAAATGAGAATTTTACATTTAATCTCGACCTAATAACACAAAGATTCGTACCGGCAAGTGACCAGTATTACTGATGAAATCGAATAGTGATAGTTGATAGTCTATCTAGTTCACTAGAAGAGGATTTTTTGTGCGGTCTGCGCCATCTCCTTCACTTTTGCTCGATGTACTTTGCCGGAGGGCGTGACGGGTAATGAATCTACGAAGAAAAATCCGCCGTTCAGTCGCTTCCCTTCCATGTTCTCTGAAACAATAAGTTAGCAATTGAGTAAGAACAAAATTGTTTAGTCGTGTGGCTAGCTAAGTAATAAATTTGAAACGTGTGTAGTCTCGTGAACGGCAATAGATTGTGCCACCTGCGACGCTGCATACGAACTACGGGCACTGCGGCCGACGGAGATACATTGAGCTTGGTCATGCATTCACAACGATGATTGACACACAAAGCTCCGTTTAGACTACCATTATAATAAATTACTTTGTCTAACCACTCGAAATACAATTTTGATGGCAGATTTAGTAATTATTTCCTTGTTATTTGATTTCGTCTTTATGATTTCCGAATTTGATATTTCGTAGAAAGATGTAAATTAATTACGGCCAAAGAGAATTTGTAAATATTATCTCAAATACCAAGCCTCAAGGGGATAAAATAAGTTTGCTCGCTTTCACATCCATCATCAGTTGATACCATCAATTTATATATTATAATGTACGTTTTATTTAAATTTTCTATTTAGACTTTAAGAGTGGTTTTCATGTCTCTAAGATGTTTAGAATTTTAACAGATTCTAAGATGAATAGGTGCTGTTGCTGTTTTAATCTGAGCATCTGTAGTTATCAATAAAAACAATCAATGAAATGTTCACCACTTTGTATCAATTAAGTAATATGTTAATGAGAATCTGTATTGTATTACACCTACGAAAGAGAACAGAAATTCATTGTTTTAATATAGTAATTAATTACGTTGACTGTTTCCTACTTATTGCAGATACGCAATGAAATAAATTGTATTTCGGATAAAAAGATCGCACAGACGAACCCGAGTATTTATATTTACTAGCAATTAATATGATTGCATTTCATGCAACTCCTACTGCATTTTCTTCATTATTTATTAATGAATCATGAACAAAAAGATGACACAAAACGAAGAGAATTCATATTTTCGCCTCGATTTCGGTGCTGCAAACGAAAATTTCTGTATTCACGGCTATACGTTATTTCGCAAATGAATTTTATTACTGCGCAGTGTACGGACCAACTGTTACACAAGTAATTATGACGCGCGATATGAGTTTTCTTGAATTTTCATCAAAAGTATACACGGATTAAAGATGGCTGTCTCAATAAATTATTTGATTAGAAAAATCAAAAGTATCTCCACTCGTTTAGTTATGATGTTAGATTAATTACGTTTCATTTAGAGACATTATTATGTATCTTATAAGTAAGTTGGTAGACTTTTATTTAGGAGACAACGCTCTATAGGATGTCCCATGTCAAAAACATCATTAATTTTGTGGTACAACTAGATACTACACATTACTATGTACGAAGGACAACATAGTGTATTACTTTTCTATGTATCCACTAAAGACATTCATTAGATGATTAGACGACATTCCATAAATAGGACATTTTAGCAATTAGTTTTATGAAACCACACTATCCTACCTATCAACTTATCATGGGCACTTAAGATAGATATGATTACTCAATTTATTAGAGCTATCTATAATAACCAATTAATTTCTCAATATCATATATATTACATCAAATATAGGTAATGGTTTACGATTATCATAAAAATCATATCGCATGTTTTCATTAGCAGTGGTAAATGTAAACAAATACCTCATGGAAAAATATTTGGTTCAAGTTGATTATTAATAAGTTTATCTGATACTAGTTAGATATTCTAGTGACGTGTTTGAGTCCGGGACTATCAAAATAGATGGAGATTTTAAGTAGATTAACGTATATAGATTGCTTTATCTCGTGTCTTTGAAATAATGGATTTCGGATATAAAATAATAATTGTGTTTTAGGGTATACTCACTTCTCAATAACTCAGCGACTTCTTGTGTGTCAACTTTGTCACCATTTCTTCTCTGTAGGGCAAAGACGGGCAGTTCGGTACAATCAAGTTGTGGCAGGCTGACCGCACAGGCATCGACTATGGATGGGTGGCGCCTGACAATCTCCTCCATTTTTAATGGGGAAAGCTGTTGACAAAACCATTCATTGTTAGCATTTCAAATAGACCATTTGCATCTTTATTGCTGCCTGGATAATCTATTTAGAGTTAAGATCGATGGTTTATTTGTGATAATAGAAGAACATCTTCATCTACCTACTCATTCACGAAATATATTTCCATACCAACTGGTATTACATTCACGAGAACATTAGTAATACTTGGCCATGCAAAATTAATTTGTCTGCAAGAATGAATATGGCTTGAACCGTTTGATAATAACGTAACCAGTTCTGAGTGGCTGAGTTCACAGCTTCAAAAATGAATGAATCTGCTCATGCGAGAACATCTTTTTTAAAATGAATCATATTATAATTTTTAATATCAATTAACAAAAGAAAATGTACAATGAAATCTATTTGTGTAAAGTGGAGCGATGTTGTCATAGCAACGTCGAAATGCAGACGGCTAGCAAGGATTTGGAAGATATTTTTCTTGTGAAATAAGACTTAGTTTTCTCTTGTCGCATATCAACCGACTCGAGACACTGCTCCACTGGAATGAATCAGAGCGTGAGAGAAATAAGTCTAGCTAAGTTTACGCTGACTGAGTTTTCGCCTTGCATTATTTTAAAAGGTTTTAACTCAACAATATTTCCTTGAAAACTTAGAATGTGATTGGGTAAATTGATTGCATTGCTATGTTTACGCGTCATTACATTTTTTAATTTCGAGGCGCACTTCATTATAATTAGTTTCTACTTTGAAAGAACCTCACGTTTGATAGAAATTCTGATTAGAAAAAGTAATTAAATGGGGTCTAAATAGAAAAAGTAAGAAAAAATAGTTACCAGAAAACCGTAGTGCTTAATTAAAAGTCTCTTGCGCTCCACAAAGTAGTAATAATCTTGCTCGTCCTTGTAGAACATGTCTCCAGTTTTGAACCATCCGTCGTCAGTCAACATGGTCTTGGTCTCCTCAGCATTGTTTAGATAGCCCTGGAAATTGAGCCACTTTAAATAAACGTTCCTTTGATACAAGATTTTCTTTGAATATATTCGGGCAGAATTCTTTGTGTCCTAAGTAATCTTAACGGCTCTACATGGTATTCACAATAATGTGTTTTCGATAATATTCATTTGATGTTCAAAAGAAAACGGTTCTTCATATAAATGCACAGATAACTTGAGAACCTAAAGTATTTCATATAGCATATTATGTCTAATATTTTTGTAAGAGATTTTCGTATTTTAAGCACTAAACTTGGCACTAAAGAAGCGTGTTTTGTATATTTTATTGAGTAACTGTGTCGAGGACCGAAGCAGTATTATAGCGTCAGTAAATTATGAATGTATATTCATCCTTGGGGCATTATCATCCGCAGCCCACGGCTTAACTAACGGTTTACCTTTTTGGGGATTGAGTTTCTGAGAATCTTTCTCATACGTTTTACATGGTAACAAACTGAATACTATTTTTGGGTAACAAATTATCGACTTTTTTTGTAAACCACAAGATAAAGGGTCCCCAAAGCTCCATAACTTACTTTAATGTGCACATTAATATATGCTAGATTTTATGCGAATTTAGATTTTTTGTATCTGAATATTTGTTGTCTAGTTTAGATTGTAGGCCTAATATGACCAATTCTCTCATTCATGGATATACCCTGATGTGTTTTTCTTACCTTGAAGAAGGCGTCGCCCTTAAGCCACAGTTCACCAGTCTTGTATGCACCTTCCAGGGGTTTTGCATTATCATCCACGAGCTACAAAAAACAACCATGATTATGAAATTGCTCAATTTAAGCATACATTTGTGAGAATATGTAAACATTCCGCTAACAACGATAAATTATTTCGGCAATTCTCTGAATTTCGCAGTTCTGGTAACTAAAACTGCCAAACTGTTTGTCCAATCAAATTTCCCAATATTAGTTTACATAGTTTAGGCATAGAAAATGTGTATGAATATTCAAATAGAGGAATACATACCATATACTCATACTGTGACTGAGGTTTGCCGGTCGACCCGAATGGAGTGTCGTCGTTATAATCGAACACAGGTACCAACAACTCGGTCATTCCATATACCAGGTACATGAATCCATCGCATACTTTCTGTAAATAAATAAATAAAGTTTTGATTAATAAAACCTTATTCTTTCTTTAAAACCTATTTCCCCAAAATTCCAGGACCCCTTTTTCGAAATTAGCACGGCAGTTATGATTCGACTAAAGAGGTAATTTTTGCATCAAGAGAAATTAATTACATTACAAATATGTATCTCTAGTTCTTAAAAACATGTTACCATTACATTCTGATCCATCAAAACAATTACAGTTCTACAATTCCATTTACCCTATTTATACACTCTCACTCTTCTAGGAAAAATATTATTGTTACCACAAGTTAAACACGTTCAGACTTCGTAGAGACTAGTTAACTATATATTTCTTTTATAAAAAGCCTGGAGAGTGAATATTAAATTAAAATAAAAATAAGAATTGTTGAAGTAGCTTATAGTGGCTGTAACTATGAATATTGTCTAGTCTTGGCTTTAAACCAGTTCTCATTAAAAAAAACCCAGTAGAAGGTCGTTGACAATAGGCTCCGTACCACATAGGACTCATAACATAATTTGATTGTATCTAATAATACTTAATTTCCATCATAATAAGAATGCAATTTTTTTAGTAGCCGTTATATATTATTGAACTCTATATAACATATTTTACGATATTACTTACTTTAAATCTGTCCAATAATGGTTTCTCGATAGCACTGCCCGCAATAACAATGTATTTCAGACACGATAAGTCACAAGTTTTTTCGGCGGCATTCAGAAAATGACCTAATAAATATGGCGTGAATGCTGTCGTGACGGGCTGAAATATTATCAGAATATGTTTTAGTATCAGTAGGCAGAAATCACAGTAGCAACATATTATCAGGTGGTTTATATATAACACCTGGTTCTTATCGGTTATTGTATTATCATTATAATTACCCTGTATTTGTTGATAATTTGGACTAGCTTCATCGGGGTTAATGGTTCAGACGCCTGAATCCTAGTGGAGCCCTTCAGTGGACCCGAAATGAAGTAGAGTAGGGATGACATCCATTGTAATGTAGCCATAGCCAGAATGCTTTCTACTTTCTCTGGGAAGGGTTCCCTGTAAAGAAATTTTATTTATTTAACATTTATTCTGCGAACGATCTATTTTACTTGGTCTATTTTAGTTACTGCACTTTTAGTTCATGTTTAACAAGTACAGTCCCGTGAATATTGTAAAGTTTTTAAATTATACTTGTAAAGTTCTTGAATGTTTAAGTGCGAATATAAATGATAAATGTTCGATTTGCTGGAGCTGTGCGGTGAGTCCCAAACATTTAGTTTTGGACAGAACTTCAACTAATACCATTAATTTATTATTTACCGATATGCGATGTTTCGAACTAACTAAACTTGCAATAAGTTTCAGAGCATGTTCAGTGTAACGAAGTTCCGAGGGCATCTACTTGTAATTAATTGATTAGTAATATGAATTGATTTATGAGGATCTAATGTATGATAGGCTTCTAAATTATAATTAGCTATAAGTGCCTACAAACCAACGTATTGTGTACAGTTTTGTACCTACATTTATATCAATAATACGAAACAGATTTGTAAATGTTATCATGAAAAACCCTACGGCAAAAAGGTGACATCATTCTATACCTAATATCATTTTAATCGTTACAACATTGTGAATTATGATTGTTTGGCAAATTAATGATTCAATCGCTAAAACAGGCGACCGTTATAATCCGCCGCGCCCAAACTAATCGGCCAGTCAAATGACTAAGCCGAGGATTTTGATTTTAATTTATTATTTATCGCCCCAGCATATCAGTGTTGTTTTTGGTTTTGCTAAAGCCTTTCTTTTAGGTATCTGACGCATTACTTATATCCTTAAGATTAAATAAGTAGGTGACCTTATAAGTTTTTTAATTTTAGTAGAAGTTAGTAAATCCTTAGTTACTGTTTTTTTTTAGTTCTCGGCGCTTTATATTACTTTTTAACAAGAATTTTTACTTACCACCAACTGATGATTCCATGGAGTAACGTGTCAAATGGTATGGTGGCTACCTTCGGTAAGCCCGTGGTGCCGCTGGTTAGCATCAACCAGGCATTAATTTTGGAATGGTCGAAAGTGGCTGGCCTGTAAACATCAAATACATTAAAGGAAACTTCATACATATATAAAAATTTACTACATCATACAGTTTTTCAGTAGGTATCTGCTTATCAAATACTACGAAACGATTCATATGTATTACTAATCACATTTATGAATGGTTATTTCATTAATTTTCTGTACATTTTAATCGTAAGTTGATAATTTCGTAGATAGAGCTGTATTTCGTCAGTATTATCTTAATTGATCATTTCCAAAAGGGCCACGCACGTAATACTGTTTCTAGACGGTTCTATATTTACCTGTAGTCAACTTCGGTGCCGTTGTGCTCCTGAACGAAAGCCTCCATATCAGTTTTTTTGTCATCAAATACGACGATGAAGCCCTCGAGGTTGTTGACCTTGAACGCTTCGCGGACCTTTTCTTCGCAGGATTTCAGGCAGAAGACAATTTTGGGGAAGATGTATGGGAATAGTCTGACTAAGTCATCTGTGAATAACAAGAAAAAAATAATTAGATTGAAAAAACACTTAGTTAATCAAGCACATCTTTAATTATTTTCCTTTTATCACGGATTATTTATTTAGACTGCTTACTTTTGCCAATACTGGGGTCGATTGCGCACATGGGGTATCCTCCAAAGTGGCAGGCAAAGTATGGGATGCAGAGGTCCATGTGGTTGTTGCCCATAACAATGGCGGGGTCTCCAGGCTTCAGGCCAGCGTTAACCATAGCACTGGCAAGACGGCTTGAGCGCTGAGCCACAGATCTATTCGTTTCCTCTTGTTCGGTGGTGAAATCGATCTAGAAAAAATCGATAGTTAAATTATTACACCTAAAATTGTGTCATAGGGTATTAGATATTTGAGGTTTGTTAAAGAGTCTAATATCATAGTGACTTTGCTAACCATACTAATACTTTTATTAGTTATTTTCACATAGCTTATTCAAAGTTGTCAAATTGGTATTGTTCGCGACTTCTCAAAGTACTAGCTATTTGTTGTTTACAATAAATTATGCGATATAAGAAAGACTACGTTAAAATAAAACGTAATTAAGAAAATGCAATATAAGTATTACGTTAGACACTAAAAAATAATTAGGTTAGAAGCAATTAACTTTTCTAGATCGTGACGCACAAAAAATCTCAATTTCGAGATTAAGTTTTCGGCTGATTAATTTTGTTCTACTAAGCTACTTTCGGAATATATTAGCAGATTTTATTGTAGTCTAAATATAAGTAAAATCGTTTGAATGCATATAATGTACAATGTCAATAAAAAGTCAACAAATATTAATATCAAAACGATTTATTAAGTTTAATTGAAATTTGAAACAAGCTGCTTCTAGGAAAATGCAGAGATTTAACCTTTAGAATTAATAGAAAACAACTTTTAAAATAAAATCAAATAACATTAATTTATAAAACAAGAATAAATTGAATCAGCGAGATGTTGCAGCTTATTTTTGTGACATTGTTACACAGAGTGTTATAAAAATAGGTTAGAATCGATAGAGGGTGGTTTATGTAGCAACAACTAGAACTAGGTTTTCTAGTACTGGGTTTTATAAATGAACAAATAGTTCTCATACTACGTGAGTCCGGGACTGTAAACTATGTACGTGAACACGTATTCCTTACTGAGTTATTTCAGTTTTACCGCAGTTTGCTTTCCCCTTATTAGTTTTCTTTTTAAAATTTTATCTAGCACTTCTAACTATTAGCTTATGTGATTTCTTATCTATATTTCAAAAGTTCCTTTTGGTAAGCCTATGATAAATCTGTAGGTATTCTGAAATCGGCTTACAAGTTTTCCAAAGGCTTTTTTGGTATAAAAATCACAGTTAACTTCTATAAATTGTTGAAAACTGCGTGTGTGGGAAGATTATTTATGTCTTCGTGGAAAGAGATATTCCCATTTTTTTTAAAAGGTCACCAACCTGCCTACTACCCCTTTTGTTAAATTATATCTTTGCATAGCAAATTATTAAAATTTTCACTAGAATTTAATTACTCGAAATTACTCTCTTGTTTCTTTAATGAAATAATAATTTAAGATAATGTAGGTAATTGGTAATAGATATTTCTAGTAATTAATCATTAAAAAGCTCTCCACCGTTTTACTTGAAATCAATTTGGATTTTAACAGCTATAAATAAATTATACTTTTGTAAATAAGATAACCTTACGGCTTTTATTTGTTGGAGGGGTAAGTTGACGCTGACGTGCATCGGCTATGTTCAATGTAGGAAATGATTACGCAAAATGAAATTAAGAAGTTCCTTACCTGGCTGATCATGTCTGGGTCCAGTAACATGGACTCCAGAGCCATGTGGCCAATGTGCACCTCCTTCTCATCGATGTTGTACCGTTCAGCAGCACTCTTCCTAAGGCGGGCCACACGGTTGGTGATTCTAGTTTTCGCGAGTGCGTCGGCAGTCATTTTGTTTGATTTTAATATCTTTTATCACAATAAGTAAAAACACGAAATAATTATTATTTGTATTGAATACAAATATTAAAGAGTTGTACTAGGTACTAGCCCCTGTTTCACTAATAAATAATTATCAGTGCTAAAGCGTTTATATATGTTTCACCCGTTATTTTTATCTGGACAGTGATTGCGTTACAAATTTTGATCCCTATCTATTAATGCCCTATAGCTACACGATAATAGTGATAACAATATCTTCTGTGAGACTCCAAATCGTGCTTTCGTCACTCGTTAGTATGTTCAAGGTAAACAAAGAGAAAAGTCAATATCAGCGACAAAAATATGGTTTTTTCGGCAATTTTTTTGTGTCCCGTCCGTCAAGTGTCATGCGGGGATTGCGGCCCAGAGGATTTGGGACAATAAAGCCATTATAAAGGTGTAAGCTAAAGCAAAAATAATTCCTATTTTTAATGAACATGCGGTTTTGTGTCAGTTAAATATGAAGCAATACTTTAATTAGTCGGAATGGAGCGTTTTAATTACGGCAACAAAGCGATAGAGCAATGGCTGCGTAATCAGATTTACACACAGTTATTTACGTTAAATAATACTTTAAATTAACCGTTTGTGTTTTATGTTTTTTCTTGAGTTCTGTGTCAGTTTTCATCATATTATTATGAACAATTTCGCAAAGACAGGCTTGTACAGACTTTCAGTATTTCGCTAGCTGATGTAGCAAGATAAATGATACGGAGGGAAATAAATCGTAACAGATCTGTCCAAAAATGAAGACAATAAATGAACATCCATTTGTTTTTTCACTGACATTAAATACACTCGTGCCAGCTTTTTTTGACATATCATTTTTTATGTTACATTTATATTCAAACGATGTCATGATAATTGTGTATCAATTGTGAATATTTCTGAACACTTAAGCACGAGATTGGGACATAGCGACATTCAATGTGAGCAGTGAAGTGCCTATATGTTTTATGGGAAATTATTGAGTAAAAGTTCAAGTATTCGTATTGTTTGTGGAAAGTTAGATAAAAAAGGTAGACTAGTTTAAAAAATTTAAAACAAAAACCTGGTCTATTACACCTATTATTAAAGTATCGATGTAGACATTCTTACATTGTACCATTAATTACGAATAAAACACCTCTAATTACGTAGGTCCTTGACGCAATATCGGTTTATCGATAGTCTGGTTTCACGTCAACTAGTATTTAACTATCATTTTATTTATCAAACATTATGTAATTCGATATTTAAGTCTATCCAAACAGCTACTGCCATGGTTTCACCCGATCTCTTCAGCTCCTATTGATTGTACCATGGTGGTACATCATATTGACTTCCTCCATAAACCGACGTGAAGCAACGCTTGCGTTGTGTTTCGTCGTGTGAGTAAGGTTATCGGAGGCCCAATTAGCCCCCCACCCCTTCCCCAATCTTCTCAATTCCTAAATCCCAACGATCCTAAAACTTCTAATCCCCAAAAGGCACTTGCAACGCCTCTGGTGTTCCAGGTGTCCATGGGCGGCGTCGATTGCTTACCATCAGGTGATCCGTCCGCTTGTTTACTGACTTATGCCATAAAAAAATGGACTATCCAATACAATAACGCTTATTCAATTCGAGCCAGTAGCTCCGCATATTAACACATTCAAACTATCAAACTTTTCAGCTTTATATATTAAGTAAATTAAGTAATATACTAATGGTATATAGAATACTTCTTTGGCCGAGTGGTCGCAAGACGAACAGCCGGGCAAGTGGTCTCGGGTTCGAATCCTGGATCGGGAAAATGGCTACTGGGTTTTAAAAAAAATCTCAGTAATAGCACGGAGTCATGCCATATACCGGGCACAATTCCAGACTCACCTCCTATTACATGGTACTAATAATATAAATAGTGAAAAGTGGGTGTTACATTGTACAGTGGCATTAAGTGCCGAAATGTGCATACATACCCCTTTGGGGATAAAAGGCGTTGTGTTATGTTATGTTATGTTATATAGACATGAAAGCATGAATTAAGGGTTCATTTACGAGTAGTGACGCCTAATTTAGTTTTGTAAATGGGTAGGTAGAGTTTACTGAAATGCAATGACATGTTAAGCTATAAATCTTATTTGAAACCCGTCATTTGATTAATGTAACTCCAGCGAGATTAACTTAACTAATTAACTTGACTAACTATGTACTTACTGGAAAACATATTTTGATTCTAGAGGTAATATTATAACATAACAAAATTAGAACTTTGTATTTAAAGGATATCAATGTGGTTCGTGTTAGTTTTTTTTATAGTCTAAAATTGTCTATAGACTCCGGAACTTAAGGCCTAGAGAGATCTGTAAATACGTGGCGTGTTGGACTTAGGTCAGAATAAAACTGCATCATTCTACGTATAACATTTAATAGTAGATAGGATTGACATAGTTGACCCTTTAATTTATTTTGAAGAAGATCTGTGGCGACACACATTGAAGTTTCAACAACAAATTATAGATGACGACATAAAATTATATATGGCGAAGTTTGCGCACGATTAAACATTGATAGAAAATAGCAACGAACAACTGTTGGCCAGTAGCCCGCCAGGCACGATCACCTCGCCTGGTTGGAGGATTCTCCTTTTCCAATCTTAGGGTCTCTGTTTCCTAAAGTTCTGAATACTTACTTACCTACAAAAATATTTTGTCAAACTTCAATCTGAATTGTGACTTCCAGACTGATAAAGCAAGCAGTCAAGTTGTTAATAATATAAATAAGGATTTTTGATGACAGTATAGTTATGTCTCATATATAAGCTACAATAAAGATTAGTAATGTTATTGTGTCAAGTAATAATGTATTTTTAGCACTTTATGTTTTTATTATATGATAGGAGTGGATTATTGTTATATATTGAATGAATTACTCATAGGAGTCGTACTTATCTATTACATTACTCATTTATTTTAAGGTTATTTTGTAATAAATGAAACAAGGACGCATTAATAATTGTTTTGTTGAAGATAATATTATGATTCTGATTTCGTTGTTTATTTTAAAGTTAAGATTCTTTAGGTACATATGATACTCGAATATATAGACCAATTATATAACTAAGCACAATACATCCTGGTTCCAAATATTACTTGACTTGTTATTTTACTCGTAAGGTCTTTCTTTCTGTTGAACAGAAATCAAAGTTTATTAAAACAAATACCGAACCTTATCCCTTTGTATTTTATGATTATTCAAATGTTTTCCATCTATATCTTGAGGCTATCGTCTATATTTCTATGAAAGGGTAACAATTATGTACGATATAAAGACTTATATGAATCTTTCTACATATCAAAATTTACAGAGGTCTCCATAACCCTTGCTAGGACATGAAAATTAGGGCTTTTTCGATGATATATAAGTCTATAGACCACCGTAATACCGATTAAGGTTACATGGAAAGGGTCAGTAATAAATTAAAGCACACATCGATATTCAAATTATTCAATAACTAACAGTGTTTACTTTCCGACCAACAAAAAGTAATTTTCAACTCTAACTAAATAGAAATTAGTTTCAACATTATTGTGATAAATTTCCTTTAAAATAATCATCGTTTTATCAGTTTGGTGCATTGTGGTCTACTATCTGCTTTACTGCGTAAAATAATTATTTTTCTTAATACCTGAATCGGTTTTCCTCCGAATGTTCAACATCGCTATCACTTAAGAGGATAGCTTAATCTTGGACGTCATTATAATCAGTTCGATCATTTTGTTTTGGATTGATTGATAAGCAGCTAAACAAAAATAGCGATTGTTCTATTATACGTGATTTATTAATTGTTATGTTTTCGGTTTATCTATTCACTTATATGTTTGACGAGGAACTCGACTAGTTTTAAGTCTGGGTGGTCCCCTTCAAGGATTTTTTGTAAATAAAATGTTCGTCAAACAGTTACGTGAGTTAGCCGAGAACATGATGATTAATTTAGTAAATCCCACGAAAGTTTTAGTATTATACGTTATTTATACATACATACATGCCTTTTATCCCTGAAGGGATAGGCAGAGGCGTAAATTATGGCACTGTACAATGTAACACCCACTTTTCACTATTTATGTTATGAGTCCCATGTAATAGGGGGTAAGCTTATTGCCATATACCGGGCACAATTCCAGACTCCGTGCTATTAGTAAAAATTTTTAAAAACCCATTAATACTTTGTCTGACCCGGGAATCGAACCCGAGACCCGTTGCCCAGCAGTCGCACTTGCGACCACTCGGTCAACGAGGCAGTCAGGAGACACGTTATTTATCTTTAGTCATTAAGCAATACACACAGCGCTGAAGCATTTCCAGAAACCTCGATCTATTTATACGAAGCTATTCTAAAATTGAGTAAACAATTAGTAAGTTTCGCTTTAAATTCAGGTGCGCTCGGCGTCTTATTAGTAATTTAGTATTTATCTATTAGCAATAATTAGCTCCTAAAGTGGCTGAGAAAGATCAACAATGTCGGATGCGCGCCGCTCAGGATCGAACATAAAACTTTAATGAGTTTCGCCTCTTCTTGTTATCTTAAGGCAGGTTCAACAAAGTTTTACGTTGTTCTGTTTATTGAACATAGCACAGTTTGCCCACAACTCAATATGAAATTATGTTTAAGTTTTAATTAACGGCCAGAACAAACTTCATTCAATTTGTAGTTTGGACAGAACAAACCGTTTTAATGTAACTGCTTGCTGCTTCAGATGTTCAGGTTCCCTTATAAATACATTCTTGTGCTAAGCATAACACGTCAACTTGTAATATTACCTTACCTTGATGATTCATTCCAAATTGAAATTCTAAATTCTGATGGAAGTTCAGTTTATAAATGTCGGACTCTAGTTACTATGACTGCATACATACATACATACATAACTTCACGCCTGTCTCCCATGGAGGTAGGCAGAGACTATGGAACGCCAATCACTACGATTCCTACATATCTCTTTTGCTTCATCAACAGTCATCAATCTTTTTATGCATGCTCGTCGGTTAAGGGTACTTTTAATTTGGCCCTTCTTTAATATATCGCCAATCTGGTCACTATATGTCCGTCTAGGGTG